ATGCTGTTTGAGAAACCAATGTGAGTTTGGAAAATTGCACAGTATAAATCTATTTTAGTATACCTCAACAATGGAATTATGATCAGTAGAAATGGCCATGACATGGGATCTTTAATAACAATATCGTCTCTTGTATTTGCTAATCATGTGTCATTACTTTCAGAAGAAATTCACTCGTTAAAAACAAATCAGCTAACATAAAACTTGCAAAGAAACCATGTTCTTTTTTTGTAATTGTTAAAAATGTAAATAATCTTAGCACAAATATCTATTAAAACGTCCATGCTCAGACCATCAGACTCAAGGCGTGCAGGAAACATGAACTTCTTGTGAAGACTTACCATCTAATCTGTGCTCAGCATTAGCTGGGTGGGCTGTGGATGATACAGAAGTGTGTTAAACATGAAACTGCATGAATTATAAACACTTTAGCATTTTTTTCACAAAAACATTTCTGTATCATGAACTAAAGGCCAATCCTGCGTTATTTCAGCATCTACTCTCCTACAGCCTTCTTCAAAGTGAAAAACAATATCCACTTTTCGTTTTTGGCATTCTATTTGTGACTGATTTCACAGTGTCTTTGAAACATGCTCCGTCTTATTTATTTAGCTTATTTTCTTTTAATTAAAAACTTTCAAAGGGTCAACGTCACTGAATAATAGAGAGGATTTAAGGTCCCAAATCTGAACATGAAGTCAGGTATTGATGGAATTAAATAAACAGAGTCCACGAGATGATGAAGTTCAAGCTAAATACTACTTCTACTTGAATATGAACATTTAATTTGAAGCTTTTCGAGATTTGATTAATGTGATTTCAGTTTATTTTTTCCAGCACACATTGAAGTGCAATATGTGCAGTGTTACTCAAGTAGAAATATACAAAGATAACAGCCTTTAAATTATACAAAATCAGAAATAATATCGAAAGATGACATACAGCCACGTAAACAGCAAATTAATTAAGTTTCATGGCCCAATCAAAGTTATTTAAAAAAAAACTAATGGTATTTATCAAGAAATTATTAAGATATTGTGTCGTTCTTTGCAACACTTAAAAAGTCAAGGATTTCTGAAACCACGCAGGAAAAGAAGGAGATGAAGAATAATTGAGTTCTGCTAAATGCAAAAATGTCGGCAAGATTAATGTAACAATAAAATAATTTGCTAGATATCAGGCATATACTGTACATTGTTTAGAATCTGAGCTATAGTATCACAGTTTAAAAACATGGGAACAGTTACGTTTTTCTTTTACTTAAAAGAATAGTGTACTTAATACTCAATTGAAGAACAGTAATAATAGTAATAAAAACAGATTATACAAATACGATGAAAATTAGAATACTTTTTTGGGGAAAAAGGCAATTTTAAAGTGTGTTTTAGTTTCCCTTCACACTATGGAAACAAAGAAATGCCATAGGGATTGGAATCTTTATGAACAAGTGAAGAAATATAATATATTTTACTTTGTAAGAGCAAAAGATGACAAGATAAAGTGTAGGGTTTAGGTTTCAAAGTACCACCTTTGACTTCTCTTTTACTTCTTTCAATTCTTATATTATTCAACTTTAATGTATTCAGTTGCACATAATATTTTCTAAAATAATTGTCTTTATTTGGCTCCCTTGGACACTTTTTAACACAATTTACTTAAATAAAACACTCAACCAATTAAATGACTTAAGTATTGAATTGGTTGAGTGTTTTACTTATGTTTTATAGCCCATTTAGGTATTCTTATTCATCCATAATTTAGGACTTCACATATTTACATATTCGAATGGTCATACATAAGGTCATGTTTTAAAGAAGCAAAGGATATTGTGTAGAACGATGGTGACCCTGCCAGGCTGCAGTTCCTCACCTTTGCAGACAGGTGGCAACCCACTCCACTGGGACGGGTGTCCAGGGACACAGTGGAGAACCGACTCCCCCAGCAGCTGGTGTCCGGGCAGACAGGAGTAGTGGAGGGTCTCTCCCGCCTGGAACTGGATCTTGTTGGAGCTGGGGACCCCGTAGGTGGGCGTTCCTGGGTGACTGCAGGGCTCCAAGACCTCAGCTGGAGTTAAAGGGGAGAAACAGTTCAGGTTGAGAAGACTGTAGGAAATGTGCATTGCAAGGTGCCAGTGGAGAATGGCACTAATGTCCAGACCATTATGGATAAGGTATGGATATTCACATTCTGCTGAGTATGACTAACTTTCTCATAACATTTTTTACAAATGTCCACTTCTACACGAGCAATGTCAAAAAAAACTAACATGCAAAAAAAAAAAAAGAAGGAAGTGCTTTTATATAAATACACACACACACACACACACACACACACACACACACACACACACACACACACACACACACACACACACACACACACACACACACACACACACACACACAATCTATTTGAGATAAATAACTGTATGTGTGCCGAATGTACAGGGATGATCTGTTTAAGAAAGTTACAAAAATTGTAACATAGCATTAGTACGGAAGATGATTGGGGCCACAGGCGGAACATTTACCTCCTCGAGTTTTGACCAATACATTTTTTGCACATGTGGCTGGAATCTCAGAATTCTGAGTTTTCTTCCCAGAATTCAGTTTGAACTATATTTTTAGCTATAAAATATTCAATCTCAATATATAACAGCTCACTATTAAGCGCTTTGAGCACCAGGAAAAGCGTTTTATAAATGTAATGTATTATTATTATTAAGAAGAGGGCTGCACGTCAAAATACTTCAAGACATGTCGTTTAAAACTGACTATATACAGTTTGAATTATCTTCAGTCTGTGGCAGGTCCTTACCATAATTTGAAATATACTTTAGTTCTTTAAATGCTGTTGAAACAAAGACATGAAAAACTCCTTAATCTGCTAAATTAATTGTACCATTTAGAATTGGCATGAAAGAGAATGAGTCTTCTTAATTTATATGCTATTGTGCCACTTATCCCCCATTCGGAATGTGACTGTCTCAGAGAAGAGGTAGGCCTATGTCTAAAGAA